AGCCAGGTAAATATCTTGAAACTTGACTATGGAGAAATGAAAATGATTAAGACATGGATTTTGGCCCCAGAGAACTCAAATCTGCCCAGGGACACAGAGAGGCAAACTGGTATAATGTTTAATTTTTTTTTTTTATCCTCATTCGAGGACATTTTTCCGTTTTTTGTTCAGATAGAGTGGGAGGGGGAGAGAGAGAGAGAGAGAGAGAGAGAGAGAGAGAGAGAGAGAAACATCAACATGAAAGGGACACATCAAGTGGATGCGACCCACATGACCCAACCAGGTCCAGAGACAAACCGCAGCCGAGGTCCGCGCCCTTAGCGGGAACCAAACCCGGGTCTCTCTGGACCACAGGCGGAAGCTCTAACCGCTGAGCCAAACCGGCCAGGGCCAAACTAGTATAATGTCATACATGTTATAACAGACTCCAGAGGGGAAAAAAACTAGAGGAAGGAACAACTAAGCCTTTTCAAAGGAGGGTAGAGAAAGTGAAGACAGGGCATTAAAAAAGGCTTCTCAGATAAAGTTCCTTTTGAGTTTGGTCTTTTTTTTTTATCGTCACTCGAGGACATTTTTTATTTATCTTCAGATAGAGCAGGAGGGAGAGAGGGAGGAAGACAGAGAGAAACATCAACGTGAGAGAGACACATTGAGTGGTTGCCACCCACACAACCCTAACCCGGGCCGGAGACAAACTGCAATCAAGGTGGTGCCTTTAGTGGGATGCGAACTGGGGACTCTGGTCCGCAGGCCAACACTCTAACCACTGAGCCAAACCGGCCAGGGCTTGAGTTTGGTCTTAAAGGGTGGTCTTAAAGGTCTTCATGGGAATTCAATAATCAGAGGAGGGGAAATGAAAAGAACACAATATCTAATAAGAGCTTGGAAGTATGACGGGGACCAGGTAGTTAAGAAACAATGATCTAATGGGACCAGTATGTAGAATCTTCGGTTCGTAGGGATTAACAGGCAGTGGGGATAGAAAAGTAAGCTGGGGATATGGAAAATCAAGGCTCTAGGTGCCACATCTGTACATGTTTACTCAACCTGGTAAGCAGTGGGGAGGGTGAAGTCATAAGCAGAGATCAGAATATGACTAATTGTATTAGAACTTTGGACTTCAAATTGAGAATAATGAGGAAACTTGTTTGGTTTTTGACGAGGGAAGGCCGTGATCAAGTCTGGATTCTAAAAAGCTCATTTTCGCCCAGCCGGTATGTCTCAGTGGTTGAGGATAGACCCATGCACCAAGAGGTCATTGGTTCGGTTCCCGGTCAGGGCACAGAATGTGGGCCAAATCCTCATTGGGGGGCATGCTGGAGGTGGCCAATCGATGTTCTCTCCCACTGATGTTTCTATCTCTCTCTCCCTCTCCCTTCCTCTCTCCTCTAAACATCAATAAAGGAAAAAATAAAAATAAAATAATATCAGTTAAAAAAAAAAAGATAGAATTATTTCCCAGAAAACAAACATGATGATTCTGCTTGGCCAGAGCTTTAGTTACACAGCCATACCTAAGAGCTGCGGAGGCTGGGAAATGTAGTATTTCATTCTGGGCAGCCACGCAGTAGCTGAAAATAGATGTGGACCTATATTGGGGGATGGTAGCAATCTCTACCACTCACACCTCCTATACTATTTTAGTTATCTCTGTACCTTTCTCCTCTCTGAGACTGTGAGCTCATCAAAACAGGATCTGTTTTTTTTTCCTCCACCTGAGCATATGTTTATTGATTTTAGAGAGAGGGAGAGAAAATTTGTTATGAGAAACATCAATGTGAGAGAGAAACATTGATTGGTTGCCTCTCATACACTCCAAAACTGGGGATCGAACCCGAAACCTAGGTATGTGCATTGACTGGGAATCCAACCGGAAACCTTTTGGTGTACCCGCATGACACTCCCACCAACGGAGCCACCTAGCCAGGGCAGCAGGATATGTTCTTATTATGGTTTCTGAAGTGCCAAGTGTGCCTGCTACATAGTAGTTATTCTGCATGTTGAAATGAAACAAGTTCCATCCTCTTCTTCCCTTTGAGCTTGATTTCAGCTGCTTCCTACACCTTTTGCTCGCTCACACCTACTCCCGTCCAACTGTTGCCAGTCCTTGGATCAGCTGGATGTTGGCCATAAAGCAGTCACTACTCTGCATGTGAACAGCTTTTATTCTCATGATTGAAAGTGTGTACTTACATTTTAAAAGCTTAAAATTTGACCAGAACTGCCCAAAGTGGGCAGGATAAATAAAAAAAATAAAGCAAAACTCAAGGCAATGTGGTAATTTTGGTGATTTCTCTAGCATCCAGATATAGCATCAGGTTTTTAACAAGAAAGACGAAGAAGATGGAAATATGTACCCAGGAAGGAGAAGGAATTAATGATTTTGAGTCTGGAAGCTAGGAATTGTTCAGCACTGGCAGAAGAAGAAAAAGGCCAGAGTTGGGGTGTGTGAGGAAATGGGTTTGGAGAGTGAGTTTATACCAAAGCTATGGCAAAGCTAATCCTTATGCATACTGAGTGTCTAGCTTTTTTCAGAGTTTAAACATGTCGAAGTGACCATACTGAAAATGTGGCAATGAGTTGATCAATAGTTGAATAATTTTTACAGCGTGAAATGAAAAGCGTATATTTTATTCCAAAGTAATAAACTTTTTTATCCTCACCTGAGGATATTTTTGCATTTATCTTTAGATAGAGCAGGAAGGAGAAAGGGAGGAAGCGAGAGACAGAAACATTGATGTGAGAGAGATACATCGACTGGTTGCCACCCATACAACCCCCCAACCAGGGTGTGCAACTGAGGTTCATGCCCTTAGTGGGAACCGAACCCAGGTCTCTCTTATCCGCAGGCCGATGCTCTAACCACTGAGTAAAACTGGCCAGGGCCAAAGTAATAAAGTTTTAACACTCAATTGGATTTAAATTGTAATCTATTTATCATTCATATAGAGGAGCATTAATCTGCATGTTAGTAAATTGAGTACATTTTTCATCTCTCAATATGGATGTTCGATTTCACTTTGATGTGATCGATGCCATACCAGGAAATGATGACATTTGGAAGTGGTGGATGCACAATTCAAACTTTTTTTAGGTTTTAGGAAGACAGATCATTGAGAAAGAAATCCAAACTCTAAACTCTAAATTTGCCCAACTTCATGGAACAAATCAATCAATGGACTAACTAATACACTACAGCTTTGACTCTCCCCATTTTTTTACACGTATGTAATTCCTTAAAAACAAACAAACAACTTAGGATGGTATTGACCAATCACTTGAATATTTGAAGAAATAATTGGAACTTTTACATATGGAGACACGATGCATATACCTCACTCTTTTGAACTTTTGGAAACAGCTAGAGAAATTCAGGTGTAAACATTACTCTCTCTCCAAAACTCCATAGTGGTAATGTTTTCTAGGACATCTTTGAATTTCACCAGATACATTTATGGCTTTTCTCCCCTCCAACATTCAAGCATACTTCTTCTCTTTACTGGGAGATTTTTTGAAAGAATAGACTAGGGTTACTTCTTATATTAATTTTTAGTATCTTCCAAAGTGTGCACAAAGTCCAAAGCATAATATATTAATGAGAAAACAAGTTGGCACCTCTGGGTAACTTCAGGAGTCCTGGGTATTGAGTCTTGAATCAAAAATTAAGAACATGAATTTATCTTGAAGTTGAAGGGACCAAGGAAAGCTAGAATAAACCTAGAACCATAGGGACTCACAGTGAATGGTGTGGACCAGATTGCCAATGAGGTGGTTTCAGTAAAGTATGGCATGTGATGTCAGTACCTAGGTGATGGAGGCCATAGTCAAGACATGTTGCCTCTCCTCAGGGGAAACAAAGAAAAGGATGCCAGGTCCTCTCTCACATTCAGGAATGTAGGAGATGCCAACCATCCATGGCGATGTGCTGGCTGTTCTTACTTCTGAAGCAGGATACTACCTTTCTTTCTTTTAATAAATATTTTCTGTTACTTTATGATATTTGACACAAATTCAGTTTCCTTCTTTTTAAAAAAATATTTTTCTTTATTGATTTGAGAGAGAGAGAGAGAGAGACAGAGAGAGAGAACATTATCGGCTGCCTCCTGCATGTCCCACAACCTGGGCATGTGCCCTGACAAGCAATCCAACCCCGATCTTGGTGCATGGGTCCACGTTCAACCAGTGAGCCACACACGCGGGGCCCTTTCTTTCTATCCCTCCACATCTCACAAAGGCATTTGGAACTCATCTAAGACATTTGAACACTTTGGAGGGGCGGGGTAGTGTTTTATATCTCTATGACAATCTGATTAAAAAACTCTGGAAGCTTTAATTATGAAAATGCACCTGCCCACACATTTCAAGGATTTCCAAGGCCTCTAGACCATCCACGGAGCCAACTGCATTGCCTCCGGGTTTGGAATCCTTAGCTGCCTGCATTCATTAGCCCAGAGGATTTCAATATTCACCCCACATTAAAAGCACCTGGAGAACTTTAAAACATCCAAATGCTCAGGCCACACCCAGCTCCGATGAAATCAGAATCCCTAAGTTGAACCAGGCATCAATATACAGTATATGGTCTAACTCTCCAGGTGATTCTAAAGCGCAGCCAAGTTTGAGGACCAACTCACTGGTCTCTTTTTGGCACACAGGGGATTTAAGTGCTTATGGTCGTTCGCTGTTTTTAATCCTTGAGTCAGAAACAATAGAAAGGCGTCAGTCGCTGATATAATTTACTCAGAATCATCCTAGAAAAAAGAAGTGCATTTGGTCGGGGCGTGCATGCCTTCGCAGCGTTTTCCTAGGATCCAAAATCGGCTGCAGTTTTTGCAGCGAACGCCAAGCGGCACCCTTTTCCTCTTGGTTCCACCTGGAAAGTCTTCCCATTTCGGATCGCACAAAGAGCCCGGCCTCTTTCCGGGTGACATCACAAAGGGCCGATTCTCCGCCCCTTCGGCGCCACCACGTGTGTCCCCACGCCCGGCGGCTACTGACTTAGTCCCTCGCCGGCGGGTCTGGGAAGCGGAGGAGGGTGGCTGGCAGTGGCTGGAGGCTTCGCTATGGGAAGTTGTTTCTTTGCTCTCTTGCGCCCAACCCTCCTCCCTGGTTCTCTGCAGCCGCTCTCGGAGGAGAGCACGGGGAGGCGCTGGTTGCAGCCGTGGCTGTCTCTCCCCGCCCCGGCGGCCGCGCCGCTGGGCAGGTGCTGAACACCCCAAGAGCCTCCGTCGCCGCCTCCCTCCTCTGTCCAGCTGCCCGGCTGCCCGGCTGCCGCAGTGCATATGGGGTGTTGGAGGTAGATGGGCTCCCGGCCGGGGAGGCGGCGGTGGACGCGCCTCTGGGCAGAAGCAGTCGCCGATTCCAGTTGCTGGAGAGCCACGCGCTCCCGGCGACCCTGCGAGCCCCGGGCTCAGCCATGGGGACCTCTGCAAACGGCAGCACCGCTCTTGCCTCCTGCAGCCGCGTCGCCGGAGCCACGATGATCGCGGGCTTCCTCCTGCTGGTAAGCGCTCGGGGGGACTGCGGGCTGCGGCCGCGCGGGAGCAGCAGGCGCCGCTCTCCCAGAGCGGGGCGGGTCCGGGGCGCGGGGTGCGCGGGGTCAGACTGCGGGAGGCGCGGCCCGCGGCCGGCTGGCTCAGGGGGCTTGCAGGGGTAGGCTACACACCGGAGGGCTCCGACCGGTCATTTGGGGGGAGTCGCAGGGCTTAGCTGGGACTTGGGAATGAAGGCGAATTGTTTTCCTTGTAATCGGGCTTCATTGGAGGAGGCGCTAGAGGTGGCCGCCGGGCTTCTAGAGCATTTCAGGGCTTTTCCCCTACTCGGCCCCCTCATGCCCCCTCTCTGCCCCTCCCCAGCCAGCGGCCGCTGCTCCCTCCGGCTGGTGTGGGCCCGGGGCTGCGGCGTGGGGCGCCGAGGGCTGGCCGCGGCCGGCGCTTTGTTGCAGCTGCAGTGTCATGTCGGGATGCTACCGCAGTGGGAGAGCGGTACCGGTGCGCGCCGGGCGCTGGAGACCGCCGGGTGCGCCGCGCCTAGCATTCCCCCGCTGGGCGCAGGCCGCCCCTCCCCCACCTCTGCTCCTTGGCTCCGGTGGGTCCCAGTTCCTGCTCGCCAAAAAACAAACAAACACACACACAAAAACCAAACCCATGGACCCACTCTTAGGCGCCTCCAGAGCGCCGGCTCTCAGCCAGCCAGAGAACTGGCACTTGAGTGGGGGAAGGGGGAGAGAGATCTACATAAGGGAAGGTTAATTTTCTCCAATCTTATCTATCCTTTACCTGTGGCCAGGCAGGTGGGTGACCCTGCAGGGCGGGACAAGTTCCTTCTTCAGGACATGAATTGCATTCAGCTCTAGGTGCCCTATACCTAGTCTTTCATCACTTACCTGGTCAAAGCGTAAAACCACCCTTGACCCAAAACTTATCCCCAACTTCCCCAGATCCCTTCCTCTTCTGTCCAAATGTTAGAGGGGAAGGGAAGAGTTAGGTGTCAGAAAATTCTTTTGAGATTAAACCCTGGAGCCACCATAAACTTTCCTTGCCAATCTTTTTGTCTCTGCAGGAAGATGGAGATTCTTAGCTAAAAAACAAACACCAAAAAAACAAACCCCAAAAGCCTAAAGGCAGGCTTGCTGTCTCCTTTCCGGAAAGGGTCTACTGCCTGGTCAGCCAAGATCTGCTTAGATCCCAGGGCAGTGCAGTTGCTATGGCCTGGGAATTTATCCTACAGACACTCTGGTTCCCTGGGGGAGTCTGTTTTAAGGGGAAGAGAGGGACTAAAAAAAGTTTGGTGCTGTTAGCATTTATAATGAGGCAAGTCCCAGTCTCCCTAAACAGACTCTGCCTGTTTAGAGTAACGGCAAAATTAAGATTTGTATTCCTGAAACAAGTGTGGATGGTGAGCAGCAGGGGGTCTTTTGAAACAGTAAACTGGATTGACAGTCTTGGTGTGGAGAGAAACCCATCTAAGTCCATATCAGTAACTCTAGCCTCCTTAGAGTTAGCTCTATCCTCCTTCTCCACCTTAGCTCTACTGTTCTACCCAGTGCGTGCCTATTGGTCCCAGGAACACATCTGATTATTATGCTCCCCATAGAGTCCACTCCTAGATTAACTCTTAAGTCAATATGATATTTCATTTATTTTACCTTTCAGTATGAGATAGGTACTTAAAGTAAGGTCTTGATGTAATCTAAGTGTAGAGGTTGCTTTAACCAACCAAAAGGCCCCAGCTCCTTTTCCTAAATTATTAAACTTGGTATGTAAAAAGTGCATTGGACTTGTTACTGAAGACCCGAGAATTAAATTTGGCTATCTCTTTAAAAATGAAATTTACAGTGGAGCTTAGAAGCAACCTTTAAGGTGTTAACTAAAAGGAGTCCTTAGTCTCCTGCTAACTATAATAGAAAGGCTCTTATTCAGTTCATGGAGTGGCCTGGGGTTGATCCCTTTGTCCCACAGAGTGACTGCGAAGGTGTGTCAGGAGTTACGAGGGGCTGGCTATGCTGTAACCCACAAGCAGGTTCAGGGGGACAATGTCTTTAATTTTTCCAACCCCACTCTGCAAGGCCTCAGGAGAGGTGTTGTTAAGGTATAAAACGATGATCTCGTGCCATTGTTCTAAGGATTATTTATCCCATTGGATTCTTGGCTACATGAAAATGACAGACACCAGATAGCAGAGCCCAGGTAAACCTGTCAGGTGCTGAGAATGCTCCTGGGGGAGCAGGGGGAGGTTAGTGACTTGACCCATACATTGCAGTTAGATTAAAAAATAATGAACCCAATAAAATATCCTGTTTATTATGGCTTTCAGTTACCTCTCTTCTTTCAAATACCTCCCTTATTGAACTGCTGCTCTTTGCTGCCCTGGTTGCAAGCCTTATGGGGTCCCACGGAGTTTAGGAGGTGCATGCCTGTGGGAGACAGGAGTAGGGGAGCTGCTGGCGTGCTCCTGGGAGGGCACTGGATGTTTAGGGGAGCATCTCAATGGACTGTTTATCAGCTTTATGCTGATGTACCAAAATAGTTTATTCTCTTAACTTTATCTGTCTACTGATTGGATTTCTGCTATATGTCTCCCTCAGTAGGGTGACTTAAGTAAGCTCTTTACTCTCTGGTTGGGGAGAAGTGCAAACCATTTACTCTTTTTTTTTCTTTTGGTATGTGCCTCTAGCAGGAACCGAACCCGGGAGTCCGCAGGCCAACGCTCCAACCACTGAGCCAAACCGGCTGGGGCTCAAACCATTTACTCTTAAGTGTCCTTGATTTAGGGAAGGTAGGATTTACTGGATGGCTGAAACTGGCATCTTGATTTTCTAGATGGCTGCAAACTGCTCTTTAACTATCTAGTCTCAGTTTTCCCTATTCCGATTGGCATGGCTTACTGGCCTGTCTCAGTATGACTATGTATGTATGTATGTGTGTATATATTATTATTATTAGGTGTTAGGTGCTTTATATATAGTGTCTTATTTACTTTCAATATCTCTGGAGCAGGCGCTATTCTCTCCATTTTACAAGTGAGAACATGGAGGCTGCAAAAACTTCACTGGTTTGTGCGGGGACCACAGGGCTCCCAACTGATGGCACTAGGGCTGGACCCCAGGACCGCCTGACTCCTCAGCTCATGCTGTCCCCCTCGCCCGTGCCACACTGACTATTTCCCAACTCCGAATTGCTAGATGATGAAATGTAACAGCGGAGAAGGCTCACTGGGGGAAAGTTGAGACTGGTGGTTTGATTTGTTGCAAAACATTAATGAAAATTATATGGATGCCTTTGGAAGGAGGTGTTCTTGCTGCTTGTACTTCTGCTTCAGATGAGTTTTGTCTGCATGATATTGGAAAGTAAACCATAAACTGGGAGATAAAATATTATGTGTTCCAGGCCAAAAGTCTGGAGAGAAGATACATGAGACCTTTCGGTTTGTGGCAGTGTTAAGGAATGTCCTACAAGGGCCCACCTAGTCTGATACAACACACTCAGATATCTTTTGCCCTCAGGGCACTTGCTTTGACTGGACAGGTAGAATATTGGCAGTGGTGCAGTCAGAAGAAAAGGGACCCATCATTGACCAGGAAATGAGGTCTTTAATTTTGAAAAGTGCTATTCTGCATACATATGACTTCTAGATAGAGGGACATTGGCAGAAAGAACCTGTTTAGCTGTGTGCTAGCCTAGACTGTGCTGAGTATTAGTGTTGGTCACTGTCACTAGCTTAGTGCCACCTCCTGACTTTCGCTTATCAAAGATGATTGATTATCTTTGCATTTGATTTTGGCTATGTGACTAGGCAAGCATTGAGTGATCTGGTGGGGGCTGACATCCTGAATGGACTTGGTGGCAAGTTCAGGCAGAACTCTGAATTAGAGCTGATACAAAAGATTTTCGCCTTTTTGTATACCTTAACTCCAGAGTCCTAGGGTATGAAAGCTGGGAGGGAAACCTACCAGCTTAGGCTGGGGAAGTAACTTATTTTCCATGTCAATAACCCTACATTGCTCATGTCCACTGTGAGAGGCATTGAGGACCCGGGATGAGTTAGGGTCGGGATCCTGCCCGCAGGTGCGTTTTGTATGGCATATAGAATGTGCATGGCCATCTGGCTGCAGGTTGAGTTTCACTCTCGTATGGAATCAGCAGATGAGTGTACTAAAAGCAATGCACCAAATGCGATTGATGTTAGAATCTTTACAAACTTGAAGTAGAATTGGCTGTTATTCTGAAAGTCAGAAGAAGAAGAATCTGTCAAGTTTCAGAAAGGCATGCATTAGCCTCAGTAGGGAAAGTGACTTGTGATCAGCACAATGGGTAATGAAGGCCTGGGCTGGAAAGCAGACCTCCCCTCCCCCTCCCCTCCCCCTCCCCTCCCCTCCCCCTCCCCTCCCTTCCCTTCCCTCTCCCCTCCCTTCCCCTCCCCCTCCCCTCCCTTCCCCTCCCCTCCCCTCCCCTCCCTTCCCCTGAGCCACACCAGCAGAACAGGGCTTGCTATTTTTTATCTGAATTGTTTCTAAAGACATATGATATGGACGAGTCTGCCTCAGGTCCAGTCCAAAACAAAACAAAACAAAACAACAAACCTCCAGAGCAAGTAAAATACACAAGCAAACTAAACCAACAAGAGAAAAAATTCCTTGTAATGGAATGTGTACTAACTTAAATTGAGAAAAACCCTCGAGACTATAGGCAGAGATCTACCAATTGGCTAAATTACATAAGTTAGTGTGGTTCAATTTGGACCAAGTGTACCAAACAGCTGGATTTGGTAGCACAGTTAATGCCATGTTTTCCAGGACAGTTTGCAGAAGGCCCCTTTCTCTGGGTACCTCCTGATTCCATAAGGGCAAGTAGGTGTGAACTGCTGAGCTGACTCTAGCAGGTGGTCTGTGCTTTCTGCATCATAGATCAAAAGACGGAGACATCACACTTGAACGTACACTTGACTCAGTCTGTGAAGATGAGAGCTCAAGGCTCTGGAGACTCCATGGGCAAGTTGCAAATC